ATTAATTCTCTAAATAATTCGTGGTCATGAATTCAAACCCTTTTTAATAACTGAATTGATCTTATCCAAATCCAACCATCTACACATAAAGTAATATTTTTAGCCTTAGAAAGTTCTTTTTCTACCTTCAGTAAGATATTTGCCGCTTCTGCATCTAAAATTGATGTTGCTAATGTAGTGCGCTTAGGAGAATTATATCCTGGATTCAACATCTTGGTAAAATCTTCAAAATAGGGAGAATCAAAGGCCAAAAATGAAATACCTGAACACACAATCCATTTAATTAGAGATTTATTGGCCCTCGTTTCTTTATCTTTGTCAATTGCTTCTTTTGCATTAAAATATGCATCTATATATAATGTAGAGTTTTGTTTTCTTTTTTTTAAAGTTACTGATTGAGATCCAGATAGTGTTGGGTTGTCCTTGTTTTGAAGATCACATAGTACTTTCAATTGAATCTCTCTTGGCACTCTACCTTTACACTTCATAGCGAGGTGGGTTCTTATATCCTGAACCCTTCCTCGAGTCCATGATGCAGGACAATACTTGCATTTTGCACCTTTGTATTTCCTTCTTTCATAAATAATTATATCATATTCGTCACATATATTTGTTAGAGGTCAACCCCCAATATTTGATAATGGTGTTATATCTGTTTGTACAGACTCTGTTTCACTAATTAACAAAGAATCATTCAAAATTGTATTACTATCCATATCTTCGATATATTCCATTTTGGTAAGTGTTAAAAAAAAAGTTATAGTACTTGTTAAAAAAAGGAAAGAAAAAAGAAACTCTAGCAATTATTAAAAACAAACTTTGGCCCGGGTTTAAAAAAAACTCTGAAAAGTGTAAAAAAAAAACTCAAAAAGTATAAAAAAAAAAAAAAAACTCCAGCAAAGTACTAATAAAAAAAGGAGGAACTTTGATATCGTTAATTTTTATCCTTTTTAAATGGATAATTATAATAAAATTTTAAAAAACTCCAGCAGAAGTCAAAAGAAAAGTAAAATAACTTCGGCAAGTATTAAAAAAAGAGTCTCGTGTTGAAAAAAAACTCTGGTATAGTTAATTTATCATAAAGGGATATTTATCGTTTATTTAAAAATAAAAAGGCAAGTGCTTCTTATTTATTAGAAAACTAATGATTTTTTTTGTTATACAATTATGATGGATTTGTTATAAACATCTAAAATTATCATTATATTTTGGCATAAAGTATCCAAAATACTTCACGCAAGAAAAAATTTTAAGTTGAACAATTACCATTACGCTAATTAGTTTTAAGAGTACTTTAGTACTATGTAGAAAAAGTTATACAATTACAATAAATTTGTATTAATATATATATATATACAATGGTTTGTTATCAATGTAATCAAATGCATGATTATGACGTAAAGTATTATAATTTTTTTCATGCCAGAAAAAATTTTTATATGATAAAAAAATAAAGCATCACTACTAATGTATTATATAGTACAATAGATTCATAAACTAGATAGCTGCGTGATGTTATTATGCGAAACCAGGAACGGAAGAAATTGATAGTAGGTTAGACTTGAATGTTTAATATCAGTAAGGTACAAATCACTTTTTACGCCAGTAAAAGGTTGGATTTGGATAAGAT